GCTCACCTATAATGTTTCTTCCTGTGCATCTATTTTAGTTTTACCAAAAAAATAAGAAAACGAAAAGGGCTTTGGGCCCCTCGAACATCAAAAATTAAAAACCAGAGAAGCTTTGACTTTACGTAATGTGCTTTTAAAGTGCAGGTAACCCTACAATTAGAACCCATGTTTAAGCGAGCAATTACGTACGTGACGGAGGATGATTCAGACTTGGGAGAGGAATTGATTAGGTTTGGGAAAGAGCACGAGTTTGGTGATGTGACGTGGTATCCATCTCAGAAGATGGCGCGTTACAGAGTTGACGAACGAGTTTCCATGGATCAGTCTGGAAATGGTCTCTATGATTTCATCCCATTTCGTTCCACTCTCTCTGCTGTATTAGCTGCCAACAGAGCCACAGGTTAATCGTGTCCCCTCTCCATTTCCTTACACATTTAGCTGATAGAAGAAAAACTGAAAGATACCCAACTTTAGGACCAACTTATATTAATGATCCTAATATTTGAATTAATGAGGGTTATCTCTCATTTAGAGATTTTTTTTAACCGTAATCATCATCTAAATCCTCGGGATTCTTTCATTTTTATGGTTATTTTACATTTACCAAACTGGCAAACAATCACAACTTCGGCATTCAAAATTAATATGTAGAACACATAGATGTGCCCTTTTTTCAAAGAAACAAACTAAGGAGAAGTTGAATTTTCTGTAACAGAGGAACTTCAAGAAGCAACAGGGGACGCTAATGGAAAATGCATCAGTGCACAGTTGGTCACTGGGACGCTGAAGACATCTGCTTATGGTTTGACTAACAACGGTATTCGTTTTTTCTCTCATTTTCCGCCGCTTCTGCATTTTTGACAAATAACTTATGAACACTTTTTTCCTTCGCCCAGAATTGATTTAAACAACATTACTATAAGCATATTACAGCTTGTTTGTTTCTCTTTATTCATAAATAGGTATACTTTTTACTGGATACCCCGTGATTGGACAGAACAATCGCATGCAGTCATCGGGGACGTGCCTGGAAAGTAACAACGACGCATTGCTCACCATATGCCCTTGGGATTCCAGGCTTCAACTTCAGTTCATTCACCAGACAGCCTTCAGCATCTCCTTATCTAACATTACAAGCTTCATCGAAGATGTGAAGAAGCTAGTTGGATTGCAGCCACAAGCACTGTGTGTATTAGAGCTGAACGATGGCATCCTCATGCGTTACGTCAAAGCTTCAAGTGCTTACTTGGGAAAAACAGAAGATGTTGTGGATTTCGATATCACCTACTACAGAAGCAAAGACCCATTGACTCCTAGGCTGTTCGAGGACATTGTTGAGGAGATTGAACAGATAGGATTGTTCAAATATGGAGGGTTACCTCACTGGGGAAAGAACAGGAATTTAGCATTCAGTCAAGTGATCAATAAGTATCCAAATGCAGATAAGTTTTTAAGTGTGAAAAGTAAGTATGATCCACAAGGAATTTTCTCTAATGAGTGGATCGATCAGATTCTAGGGTTAAAAGGAGCTGTGACGATACTAAAAGATGGGTGTGCTCTTGAAGGTTTGTGTATTTGCTCAGAAGATCGTCACTGCTCACCTAGCAAGAAGTATTTCTGTAGGCCTGGGAAGGTTTATAAAGAAGCTAGGGTTTGTGCTTTCGAAAGCTGAGACGGATATTTGAAGGAAAAGCTTTAATAAAGGGATGCTTCGAGTTCAAATCATATATATAAGACTCCTTTACAGTGATATTTCAAATTTGAGATGGTGCTGCCCTGTTGCAGATCAAACACAATTCATTTCTGTTGTGTGATTTTAATTTAATAGAAGTATGTATGATATCCTGGGTAATTCGTAGTGTAACAAATTTAAGAATAATTAATCATGCTTAATTTCAAGTTTTTTTTTTGACACAAAAAGCCCATTTTATTGATATTTCAGAAAAGGTATTCCATCAATGGCAAAATTGCAATGTGATTTATCACATAATTAAACATAAAATACTCCTCATGAAAATACCAAGTTGAGTCAAGATCACATAATTTCAATATAAATTAAGCAGAAGGGTGACATTTTTCAAGTGAGATGAATCTCAAACACACACACACACACACAATAAAACCAATTTTTGGAAAGAAAAAAAGGGACAAAATAGTCAAAAGTTTCATGAATTAGGGAAAAATTGGCATTATGTTGGTTTTCTTGTCCAAGAGAAGAAGGCATGTTTAATCTCCGTTGCATTATATAATAACCAGTCTTTTCATAACCAAAATTATGTGTACTAGCTGGCATATCAAGTTAAGGGATTCTTCCTTCTTTTTGTTTTTAAACTATTTTCATCCATATCAAATATGGTCTTATCGAATACAGCGCAGCTTAAAGATATCAAATTCCTTCAAGTCGATCTTGTTTTATCCAATTACATACTGAGTACATTAATTATATACAAATAAAAGACGTTCTAAACTTAAATATCTTAAAAATTTGAAACGAATTGTAATGAAAATGGTAAAGCTCATCCCTTATGGAAGTCCTAAAAATTAATAACTAAATGTATTATGCAGGGTAAATAACAAAATCTAAAGCTGATTTTGTTTTTTTAGAAAGAAATAACAAATCAAAAGCAACGTGCATGCAAGTAGCTAATTTTGTTTTTATGGTTAATGTTGATAATTATGAACGATTTGAAAATTTTGATTGTTAATGTACATTCTTAGACTTAGTTCTCTACGGAATTTGTTGATTTGATCCAGTCATCTAAGTTACATTCTTAGACTTAGTTCTCTAGGGAATTTGTTGATTTGATCCAGTCATCTAACTTGTGTGGAAGAACTGGAAATAGAAAGATATTTAGCATCCTCTCCATACTCTCTTTTTGACACTCAATTTCACCCGTCTATTTGATTTAACAGTGTGAGATTATTTATTATGGCATTAAGCTTAATATACACTATTAATTAACTGACTACCGTAAATAAGCACTATGAATTATGATCCTGTGCTAAAAAGTATTTGAGTGATGATAATCAATATATGGCCATTAAATCAAGTCAATAGTTAATTGAATGGGATGTATGCACATATAGGAGCCAGATTAATACTTACTATAGATGACTTGTCAGAATGTTCTTATGCATATCTGATGAAATATAAAAGCGAAACCATACAAAATAAAAAGAAAATGTGCCCAAATTGCCAAGTTGAGCAATAATTCGTGCAGAAAAAGTTTTCGTACGAGTATTGATGACTTCTCAGAATATTCTCATGTATATCTGGTGAAATATAAAAGTGAAATCGTGCAAAATTAAAACTGCATTCAAATTGTCAAGTTGAACCGTTATTTTCCCCAAAAAAGGGAGAAAAGAAACGTTTTCGTAGTGATATAATGTAATAGCCGGCGGCCGGGGGCGGCTGAATATGTAGTTGACCATTAAAAGTTCCTTGTTGCCTGCTCGTGTCTTTTTTATTTGTTGGAAATTTATTTTGAATAAGAAAATAGAATTAGTGCTAAATTGTATTCTTAATAATAAGTCGTACGAGATTTCTGAAGAGTGATGCAATCTGAAAGATCAGAGGGTAAAAATTAGAATAAAAAGCAATGCTTAGCCTAGACGCCAATGGAAAACACGACTATTTAAATTAAAATATTTTGAATAATAATGGAACACCAGAGCACGATGAGGATTACTCTGATCACTTCGATTAAATATATTTGTTTTTGCACGTTCTCACCCAAGGGCAGAGAGAAAGCAATAATGCTTTTTCTGGATTTGATGCTACGGGGGAGATCCCGTCATCTAGATCAGCTCAGTTCAGGAGTTTAATTACTAATAGATTCTTTGAGGGACAAAATGTCACATGATTATGCTTTCTTTGGGCTATAAGCCTCATCATTTACCCAAAAAATGACATAATTATGCTATGATCGATGCATCAATTGAAATAGTGACCGACATAAATACTCTGCTTCACTACAATGTTTTATATAGAAATGACATAAGTAAAGTTCATCTATGTCGGTTTAAAGAGTGACTTGCTGGTGGTCGCTGGGGGAAAAAGAGGGGGGGGTACTTGCCGTCGCCGGTGGACGAGTAATTTATTAATTTAATATTATGCACTCTTAATCATGTGACGAGGCTGCTAGTTGAAAATAAGGATGCCAATAGTTGTTATATCAAGATTCTTCGATAGGTTCAACTAGTAATTGCTATCTATTTTTTCACCCTTTACTATTAAATCATACTTTTCCGATCTTTCAACGTAGTCATCAATCAAATTGGTCTGGTGTGATTCGACAAGTCAGATCGGATTCGCTGTAGGGAAGGGTGGATTACTGGAGGATTGGAGCAAATTAAATTTACCAACTTCGGCTAAAAGTTGGTGCAAATTTTGGACCCAGACAAGAGAAAAAAACTCCAATTAACCCTTGTACTGACTTCTTGAAAACAACTTTATTCCTTGCGCTTGTGTGTGTGTGTGTGTGTGTGAGAGAGAGAGAGAGAGAGAGATGTTATTTACATAATAATTTCATCATAAGACCTAATAAAAACCCTTTTGAATTAAAATACTTCACTGTAAATTTCTTGATCTTGAAGAGAAAACAATATACAATATTGGTGGTTGGGATGGATTTTCCTTTTCCATCTGCTTTATTAGACTTGTTCTTCTATATAAATATATGTTCCTTTATGCTCTGCTCTCGCTTAATAAGACCAATAAAACTCTGCTAATCGACGTGCGTCGTCCGATCGCGCTGGCTTCGATACTTCATATCTTCCGCGCACACACATGCGTAATATTAAATTCACACTGGTTGTAGCTTATGGATGGCTAACAGTAATTAAACATGCACTAATCTTCATTGTTAAGTGCGATCGATCTTAGCGATATTAAGGCCACGAGAGTTAAAATATTATATAAGTATTGTCGTGTGTCATTAAGATTTATGATGCGTGATTTAGCTATAACGATCAGGCCAAACTAGTCAAATGTTTGAAGTCCAATTTCACCACCCTCTCATTTCTCTCGTGTGCGAAAAATCCCATCTCGATCTGAAATCTCTCTCTCTATATATAAGCAGACACATCGCAGGGCGCATTACAATACGGGATAGAGTTTTTACCCAAAAGTAGGCCAAGCTTCAACCATGAAAATACTCAAATCCACTCTCATAATCTTCCTCATAGTTTTCGTGAATGGGGTTCTTTCTTCTCCTCCAGATGACCCCGTCCAATGCACTTCCGGCAACAAAGACTGCACCGTCACAAACTCCTATGGCGTCTTTCCTGACCGGAGCACTTGCCGAGCATCCCAAGTAATGTACCCAACCACCGAGCAAGAGCTTACTTCCATGGTGGCTTCGGCATCGAAATCCAACACAAAAGTGAAAGCAGCCACCAGATATTCCCATAGCATCCCCAAGCTTGCTTGTCCTGGAGGCCAAGACGGGATCATAATAAGCACCAACAAGCTCAACCGTGTAGTGAAGGTGGATGCGGAAAGCAGAAGAATGACGGTAGAGAGTGGCGTGCTTCTAAGAGAAGTGATCAGTGAAGCGGCGAAGAATGGGCTGACGTTGCCGTACACTCCGTACTGGTGGGGAATAACGATGGGAGGATTGTTGGCGACGGGGGCTCACGGCAGCTCGCTGTGGAAAAAAGGAAGTGCGATTCATGAATATGTGGTGTCCATGAGGATTGTGACGCCGGCGGCGGCTGAAGAAGGGTATGCGAAGGTGAGGAGCCTAACCGAGTCGGATGAAGAACTTGATGCGGCCAAAGTCTCCCTTGGCGTTCTTGGGGTTGTTTCTCAGGTATGGCTTCGAATTCGGTTCCTTTGCGAGATTTTTTTTTTTCAATATTTGATTACTTCACATTTCTAATATAAAAACTAGTTCTTTTTACTTGAAAAATAATAACTATTATAATTAATTAACTTATTTAATTTCGTTAATGTATTCAAAACCAGCAGGAATTAGCTATCCCAGTTGTCCTTTTTTTGCCCCCCTAACAACTCCGATTCATTATGTTTGACCAATCAAATCTTTTATACATCATTGGTATTTATCAAAACAAAAGAAACAATCATTTAATGAACTAAAAAATCCTTGGTGTCTTGAATAGAAAACTAATGAGGATATATTTTACAGAGAAATAATTAATAAATAACGATGAAAGTTCATTTGAAATATTTGTTTTTCGTGTTAGGCAAGGAGCATTCCTTTCCTTGCATGAAAAAAAAAAGGAGAAAAGAAAAGAGCATTCCTTACCCCTTTCCCAAATAAACTGCCACTTGATATTCTATGTATCTTAAAAACTCTTCTCATTGCCATTATTATCGTTGAAACTGTCTCAGATTCTATGTTTCGAAGAAAGCGTTTAAACGCTTTTAAATCAAACGGTAGACTTTTGTTAGAGATCTATAATTCTATTTACGTCAACTTGATTGTCATATTAAAAAAAAAAAACAAATGCAACTAACAGAAAGTTGACCTTATTAAAATAATTTAACTGGCATAGAAGTGTTTTTCATAATATATATCAAATGTCAAGAAAAGTCGAATTGCGTTTTTAAAGCAAGAAAGAATATGATACTCCTCTGATCTTAAATATAAGACCTCTTTTATAGTATAATTTACACTACAAAAAAAATCTTATATTTAAAACCGGAGGAATATTATGGGTAATCTGAAAAGAAAAATCTCAAAGTAAATTTGCGGGGAATAGATATTGATAAAACTATATATGTTCCCAGTTTTTTTTTTTTTTGTCTTGGATTACGAAGTTTCAAAATGACTGGATAATCATCAACTGCTTCATGCAATTTTAACTGATCCTGCGCCATGTTGCACGGGAATGGCTTTTTTCTTTTGGGAGGCAAAATTTCTTCCATTTAAAAAGTTAACGATTAAAAATTTTATTACTCAGCAGGATTTGATATATTTTTATACATAGAAAATATTGATTTTTTATACAACGGAAGGAACATAGAAAATAATCAAATATTGATATTATACTGGAATTCGTACACAGAAAGTATCGTACTCAAATTCAAGTCCTTCCAGGTGAATAAAATTTATAAGAGTTTCCACTGATTTTTGTCTAAAAAATTAATTAAAAAAATCAACCAGATACGTCTTTGAATGAACTTGAAAAGACGAAAATTCAGCTGGAGCGCCGGGACCCACTAATTTGGCAGATAGGGAAACAATACATAAAACACAACTTGTGCCCTGTTCTTATCTTAAAGTAGTGACATTTGGCCCTGCTTGGTTTATTCGTTTTCCACGCACGTGAACGCAGATCATCTTATGATAAATATTTGTAAATACTGGTGAATCTCTGCAGGTGACCCTCCAGCTAGAACCCATGTTCAAACGAGCTCTTACGTATGTGGAAAAGGACGATTCAGACTTGGCAGAAGAATTGGTTAATTTTGGCAAAGAACACGAGTTCGGTGACGTGGGCTGGTTCCCATCACAGAAGAAGGCACTGTACAGAGTTGACGATCGAGTTTCGAACAAACACTCTGGAAATGGTCTCTATGATTTCATCCCATTTCGTCCCACTCTCACTGCTACCTTAGCTGCTACCAGAGGCACTGGTTAGTTTAGCTTAATTACTGGCATTATATAAATTGATATAAACTGCATAAATTCACTAGCCTTAAAGCAGTCTTCCGAGAAACTAAGCTAAGTAGGACTTGAATCTTTGTGTAACAGAGGAGCTTCAAGAAAAAACAAGGGACGCTAATGGCAAATGCATTGGTGCCAAGTTGGTGACTGGAACGCTGAAGACCGCTGCTTATGGCTTGACTAACAACGGTACTCATTCTTCTTTCATTTGCATATTTCAACGAACGCCTTTCATCAACACTTAATTCATTCGTTCATAGTTTTTACTTTAAACAAACCACATTAAAACTCAATGCCTCTTGGTTTGTTTTTGTAAAATATACAGGTATTTCTTTACCGGGTACCCCGTGGTTGGACCGAACAATCGCATGCAGTCATCTGGGACATGCCTAGACAGTTTAGAAGACGGAAAAATCACCATATGCCCTTGGGATTCTCGACTTGGACTCCAATTCTTCCACCAAACAGCCTTCACTATCTCCTTGTCTAACATTCCGGGCTTCATTAAAGATGTGCAGAAGCTAGTTGAATTGGAGCCACAAGCATTGTGTGGATTAGAGCTCAACAATGGAATCCTTATGCGTTATGTCAAAGCTTCGAGTGCTTACCTGGGGAAAACAGAAGATGCAGTTGATTTCGACATCACTTACTTCAGAAGCAAGGACCCATTGTCTCCGAGGCTGTTTGAGGATATTTATGAGGAGATTGAGCAAATGGGGTTGTTCAAATATGGGGGGTTGCCCCACTGGGGAAAGAACAGGAACTTAGCGTTCATTGAAGTAATCAAGAAGTACCCAAATGCACAGAAGTTCTTGAGTGTGAAAAACAAGTATGATCCACAAGGGATTTTCTCTAGTGAGTGGACAGATCAGGTTCTAGGATTGAAAGAAAGTGTGACAACGTTAAAAGATGGATGTGCTCTTGAAGGTTTGTGTATTTGCTCAGAAGACCGTCATTGTGCACCAAGCAAGAAGTATTATTGTAGGCCTGGTAAGGTTTACAAGGAAGCTAGGGTCTGTGCTTTTGACAATGAGGCTAATTTGAAGGACGAGCTTTGATGGGAGGATGCTTTAATCCGAATCAAAGGGGCTTTCCATTGTGTATTAATAACATCTTGTGTGCGTTTCTCTTTTAATTTGTTGCAGAAATAGTTGCAGAAATACTATTTCTTTTACGTCGATATTAGATATTTATTTAATAAAGGAAGTATGATTTTCTAATTTTTTTTGAGGTGCGTCGCCAATGCTATTTTATCGTTCTCTCTCTCTCTCTCTCTCTCAAATAATTACAATCATCCCTAGGTAAGTAAAAAGATAATTTGGACTGTTTCTTGCCAAAAAATGTGAATGCACTGATGTTTATAAATTCACTCAAAAATAGAAGTGGCTCTTTCTATTCCCCCCTTACTTTGGTGTGATTTCATGAACTACGTTTCCCTGTGCAAATTCTAGCAGCCGGAGTCCTCTGCAGAACATCTTTCAGCAAACAAGACAATGGAGCCCAAGCTGTACTTTTATGTTTTTTTAGGTAAAAAGGACAATTTATACTAGTTTTATTGTTAAATGTTTTTTTTACCAGAGTTTTATTGTTAGTTGTTAAGTGTTAACCTCTGTAGGAAGCAGAGAACAAACAAATTTGGCTAAAGAGTAAAGACCTTTGAAAACGATGATGTCCTCCCTAAACTTTTTTTTTTTTGCCCACCCAGTTCACCGGAGCTTTGTTCTAACTACATTTGGATCCGATCTGCGTCGTGTATCTGGCTATGATGGGTGAGTCTCCCAACGGAGATTTCTACATATGTTGAGGCTTGAACTCGAGACATCATTTAAACGGTACCAAATTGTTTACCACTTGGACCAATCCCTGTTGGTACGTCCTCCCTAAACTTTCCATGCTGCATCTCTCGACTATGTGGCCATCAGTTTAACTGTCAGGGCCCCACATGGCCCAACACCATCGTCCGGACCCAACACATGTGAGGGCCCAATATAACTGTCATATTAAAAGTCGTTGTTTGGTTGTTTGAACTTTGAAATGATTCTGACCCAAAAAAAAAAAAGAACTTTGAAATGAGATTTCTGCGATCTGAGAGATAGGACCAAGGAAGAAAGGTATCCCGGGATTTTAGACAGAGTAATAATATTCAAGAAAACGTATACGGAATTAAATTAGAACAAAAGCGATGCTTATCCAAACGCAACAACAGCGTTTAAATTATCATAATTTAACCGGTAGTTTAGTACATTAACTCTGTTAATTTTAAATTAAAATTCTAGGTTACTGTTTTATCAAATAATTGTTGGTAAATTAGTAATTCATCATTACTAAGTTCAAATTTCTTGTCTATTTTCTATCTATATTTTAACCCCCAATACTTTTTCAACCTTTCTACGTAGTCTAGGAGTAAAATTGGTCGTCTCGCCTGATTCCATTAAATTATTCAGATAGAATTTAGGGTCAAAGAAAAATTTACAGGCGGATTGGACCAAATCTAATTTCGGCTGAAAAATGTAGTAAATTTTGGACAGAGGGAATTATTAGTTCTAGTGAATAATCCTGCATGCACACATAATTTCTGTGCGCAGCTCAGCCGCTATATCATATGTATGCATTATGAAAACCTAATTAATGAAACCATGCAAATGCTTAAATTCGTTGTCGTCATCTTGTTCTTAGTTTTCATTCATGGGGCTTTTTCTTCTCCTCCCGATGATCCCATCAAATGCACCTCCGGCAACTCAGACTGCACCATCACTAACGCCTACGGTGCCTTCCCTGACCAGAGCACTTGCCGAGCATCCCAAGTACTGTACCCAACCTCCGAGCAAGAGCTTGTTTCAGTGGTGGCTTCGGCATCAAAGTTCAACACAAAAGTGAAAGCAGCCACCAGGTACTCCCACAGCGTCCCCAAGCTCGCTTGCCCTGGAGGCCAAGACGGGATCTTAATAAGCACCAACAAGCTCAACCGTATAGTGAACACTGATGTGAAGGGCAAAAGGATGACGGTGGAGAGTGGTGTGCTTCTGAGAGACTTGATCAGTGAGGCAGCGAAGAATGAGCTGGCTTTACCGTATACACCGTACTGGTGGGGAATAACGGTGGGGGGATTGATGGCGACGGGGGCTCATGGCAGCTCGCTGTGGAAAAAGGGAAGTGCCGTTCATGGGTATGTGGTGTCGTTGAGGATTGCGACACCGGCGACGGCGGAAGAAGGGTATGCAAAAGTGAGGAGCCTATCTGAGTCTGATGAAGAACTCGATGCAGCTAAGGTTTCCCTTGGGGTTCTTGGGATTGTTTCTCAGGTATGTCTTCGAACGTAATTGGATTTCACCTCCGGGAAAGTTCATTTATCTATTTAAATATTTTTGATGAACTTGCATAATTGTTTCGTAGTGAAAAATACGCAGTAACATGTAATACAGAAAGTTGACTTTACTTAGTAATAGGAAAACGCTCTTTTACTATATATATATATATATATATATATATATATCAACAGATGAGTAAGTCGAGTAAACATTTTTAGCGGGAAAAAAAAGAAGAAAGGATGTTGTAAAATCTAAATAAATTACACAGGACCTCTTTGTAATCTTTTTTGGGAATCCAAGTGTTTTAAATTTTGTGCAAGACCTCTTATAAATTACGGAAGAATAGTTGTAAAGTAAGCCAAATCTCTTGTAAATAAAGCAATACCTCTTGCAAATTTTGCAAGACACCTTCTCATCTTGAATTTGCGGCATTGACCCTGCTTCTCTTCGTTTATACTTTTTGTATATATTGCAGGTAACCATACAGCTAGCACCTATGTTTAAACGAGCTCTTACGTACGTGACAAAGAACGATTCAGATTTGGGAGAGGAAATGGCTCGTTTTGGCAAAGAGCACGAGTTCGGAGATATAACATGGTATCCATCTCAGAGGAAGGCACTGTACAGAGTTGATGATGGAGTTTCCATGTAACTGCCCGGGAATGGTCTCTTTGATTTCATCCCATTTCGACCCACTCCTGCTGCTGAATTGGCTGCTGTCAGAGCCACAGGTTAATTAAAACTAGCCAACTGGAAATAACTGATCCGAAGATACCTAATTTTCTTTTGTTGTAATTAAAGACGACTATAGACAGCTACCCCAAACTCAATGGGCTTTAACATTTAAATCTAACCATTTGTTTGTGGTAAATCATTTGGTGGCATTCTTTTACAAAGGACAAATAATTTAAACTTTGAGTCAAGTCCAACTTCAAATTGACGGGACATTCTCCCAGACACAAGTTTCTTTTAATTCGCAATAAACCTTGGCCCAGCAACATATAGTTTGTCACTGGTATCATCATCTCGAGATTTTATCATTCATAATTTTTTTTATCTTTCCATATGAATAAACAATGACAACTTTAATGTTTAAAATTGATATAAATTACATGAATTCGCCACTCTTTATGTAGTCTTTCCAGAGAATAATTTATAAGCTAAGCAGAATGTGTGTAACAGAGGAACTTCAAGAATCAACAAGAGACGCGAATAGCAAATGCGATGTTGCCAAGTTTTTCACGGGAATTCTAAAGAACTCTGCTTATGGCTTGACTAACAATGGTAGCCATTCTATCCTCACTGACACATTTCATCAATACCTTTTAACACTAGCTTCTTCGTCCGTAGTTACTTAAATAAACAACACTAAAAATCATTACCCTTTTGGTTTCTTTCTACTGAAATAGGTAAACTCTTTACTGGATACCCCGTGATTGGGCAGAACAATCACATGCAATCATCTGGGACATGCCTAGGAAACTTAGAAGATGGAAAGATCACCGCATGCCCTTGGGATTCTACACTCGCACATCAGCTCTTCCACCAAACAGCCTTCAGTATCACCTTGTCTAACATTCCAAGCTTCATTAGAGATGTACAGAAGATAGTTGAATTAAAGCCACAAGCATTATGCGGATTAGAGGTCAACGGAGGAATCCTAATGCGTTATGTCAAAGCTTTGAGTGCTTACTTGGGTAAAGCAGAAGATGCTATCGATTTTGACATCACTTACTTCAGAAGCAAAGACCCACTGTCTCCGAGGCTTTTTGAGGACATTTATGAGGAGATTGAGCAAATAGGATTGTTCAAATACGGAGGGTTGCCCCACTGGGGAAAGAACAGGAACTTAGCATTCATTGAAGTGATCAAGAAGTACCCAAATGCAGAGAAGTTCCTGAGCGTGAAAAGCAAGTATGACCCACAAGGAATTTTCTCTAGCGAGTGGACAGATCAAGTTTTAGGGTTGAAAGAAGGTGTGACAATATTGAAAGATGGGTGTGCTCTTGAAGGTTTGTGCATATGCTCTGAAGATCGTCACTGTGCACCAAGCAAGAAGTATTACTGTAAGCCTGGTAAGGTTTATAAGGAAGCGAGAGTCTGTGCTTTTGACGATAAGGCTGATTTGAAGGAAGAGCTTTGATGGTAGGATGCTTTGAATCAATGGGCCGTGGCACAAACAGTACTCCTGCATTTATGGCATTATTAATTCAATAAAAGGAGTATGATTGTTGTAATTTATTATTGTCAATGCCATTTTCTTTTCCCCCATAATTACCATCACAAGGTACGAAAAATAATTTAGATCTTTTTCTTTATAAAAAGAGACAAAGTCACTTCACTTTTAATTTCTTGATCTGAGGAGAAGGATTAAGGAGTATATAATTCGTGGTTGGGATGGGATGGATTTAATGCACATCCGCTTTAATTATCCGTTTTTGGCGCCTTGCTTTTTCACTGCATTATGATATGTGCTTCATGCTTCTGCTGGTCTTTAAATCAAGCTAATTACGCTGTGTTATCGAGACGTTTTCGATATGGCTTTGATATATAAATATATATATAGAGAGGGGGGGGGAGGGAGGGAGAGAATTAAATTGATAGCACTGGTTATCGTTATGGCTTATAAGCTAAGGTTAATTAATGAAACATGCAAATCTTTAATTCGTGAACTTCGGAAGTTCATGGGTGATAAAATCTTTAATTGGTGCAGTGTATCGACCTTGTAGACACCTAAGGGCTCCATACAGTATTCTTGATTGTTGTGTGAACCCACAGTTATTAATAACAAAGCCCAGTTTCGGAGACGGTTCATGTCAGAAAGTGCTGAAATTGATGAAAATGTGGACCTTGATGGGGGAAAATTACATGGATGAGATGGATGATGATGTTGAATAACAGAGATGATGTGTGGGTGGAGGTGGTGATGAAGATGCAGAAGAGATTGAAGATGAAGACTCTCAAGTAGGGGGGCCTAGCAGAAACGACCAAATGCTTGAAGCTCATAGAATCGGCAATGTGATTGAATATATAGAGAACAAGAAAAGCCATCTCCCATTGATGAAGATGAGAGGAATATACATTATGAACTCCTCGTCCTTCCTTGGAATGCCAATAACAATGATTAATGGGAGACGTGTGAGCCAGTAAGTCATATTCTTTAGGTGGGAGCTTAGGATATCATGGATTATAATAAGGATTTGAGTATATTCTATTACCTTGTAGGTGAGATTAATGAAAGATAGGGACGCTGGAGGAGGCAAAGGCTATGCTTTTGTGGCATCTATAACAAAAGAAGTTGCACAAAATGCCATTCAAGAGTTACATAACAAGGAGTTCAAGGTATCTATGATGCTGTTTGAAAATGGTATTTTTCCTTTTCTGTAATGAATTTCAGAGAGCAACATTGCGTCAAGGATCTTCTGGTGTTTAGTTACTACTACCTCCCTATTGATTTCTTTCATCAGCATGACAGGTGTGGGATGTGAAATTTTCATGTACGCTAGAAGTTTCATTAATTGTCATTTGTCTAGGTTCTCATAATTTAAAAGGCAAAGAAAATAAAGTTCCTAGCTTCTCTAATTCTTCCAGTATTTTTGCAAACTAATTGTTGTCAGACCTGTTACAATAAGTACCATAACACAACATTTTGTTCTTTGATTCGTGCTGCCACGTAATGTCGGGAGTCGTTTGGGTGTTTGATGTTAGTTAGATTCACTAATGACAACCAAATCATGAGGAAAATTTTTTTGAACATCAAATAATGTGGTGCTAAGCTAAGATGTTCACCATCATACCTGAGGGTGCTACCATTGAACAACTAAGAACTCGGCATGGGGAAGTAACCAAAATGGTCATGGCCCCTGGCAAAAGAGGAGGAAACATGATTTTTTTTTTTTTTTCATTTATTATGCGGAGAGAGAGGTCTAGTGCAGTGAAGGCTGTAAAAGATACAGAAAAATGTAGATGGCAGCGGTTCTAAATGATATAGGCTGGCCTTCTCTTTACGTAAATCTGTGTTTTGTTTTTCTATATCCTTGTCTTGTGTAAGTATCAATTGAAGCTGTTTATCACATAGCGTTATGTTTACTCCGAGACAGGCTCGTCAGTGTGTTGGATGTTGTTCTTGCAAAGCCTCAGTTCTATAAAAAGAAAAAAAAAAATCTGATGAAGTTGTGTCTACAACACCGGCCTTCATTTGAATCTTCTTCCACATCAATGGCATGGCGACAAGAGCAAGTGAACCAAGAACCAGCCCCACTAATGGCTGGAGGCCAAGAGAAGTGATGTTTCTTGCCCCACCCAGTAGCGTTTGTCAGTGGTAGTTTAGTAACTTGAGAAATGGAATAGCTTTCATATATAATCAAAATCCCCTCTGTACCTACTTCCACCCACACCAAAATAGAAGGAAGTAGAAATCATGGAAACGTAGGTAGGATCAACAACAGTGGTTAATGCTGGTTTTTCTTTTTTTAGATGAGTCAGCTGATCCAATCAAAGCCTTATTGTCTGCCTTGGCTTCATTTTCCTGACAAATCAGTAGAAAAAGAAGTTGCCAACAGTTTAGCTTCAAGGTAAGAACACTCTGTTTGTTTGATATATTGCAAGAACAGAGACAACAGAGGAGCGAATGTTATGGTTGCTCTGAGACAAAAGAAAGTAAGATTTTATAAACCAACAATCTAGGAGCCGAAAGAATGAACCTCAATCTTTCTGAACTGTACACAAATCTTCTCCGAGGTTGCAATAGAAGCATGATCTGTCAATGGAAGTGATTGGGAAGATAGATAGCTGTGTCGTATTCAATCTGTCATTGGAGGTCAAACAAGTAGCGAACATCTTTGCCGTATAGCTTCTATGGGACGAACGTGTTGACGGTGGACGTAGAGGTTAGAGAAAATGACAATTGAAACACGCAATTATTTCTTCAGAAAGTAACACTACAGTTAATGTGAAAGAAGGAAAGCTCACTATAATAAGTTTGTTTTACCACAAGTGATGAGAATCCGGACAATCAATGAGACGACACAAAGCATATTTTATTAGGTGGATGGACCGTTACTTTCTCGATAGAAACACGTCATGGTTGATTTATCTTATAACACAAGTCAGAGAAGTATTTAATGGATAATGATGATGTCATAATTAAAATGTGTTTTGTGTGTGTGATATACGATTTCAAGACTGAAGAAGTTATACGCTAAGACATGAACATTGAATCGCGCTTTCCTTGATCTGATATGACCATATGTGGTGATGAAAAAACTGAAAATAGTTAGAAACTTAAATAAAAGCCAATGCGAGAATTGAACAATGAAACATGGAAGAACTACTTATTTTGCTTTTGTGAAACTAGGATAATGAACGGCTATGTAACGTGAAACCATCATATTATTACTACCTTGGACCTTATTTAAAAACATCTCATCTGTAATCTGTAAGTGAAATCTTATAATTAAACTGGAAGTAATGTGATATTAAATATATCAATTTATTTATGTTTACCGGAAAAAAATAAAAGGAGTTATAATCAAATTTCAAATATACCATAAATATGAATTATCGATGCTTCCGACCGGGAATATTAGGCTCCTTTCTGCAATCCCTTTAGCATTATCACATCCCTCGTTGTCCGACATGTATTCGTTCAAATGAAATGCCATTAAAACACCGTTCACAATGGAATACTAAATTTGTAACATGGGAAAGAAGAAACAAATTGATCTGTCAGTCAATTTTATCAACGTAAAATATGAACTCTAATTGTTCCAATTGACATTTTCTGTTACATTGGATAAGAAAGGTTTCAACACTTACTTATCACCTACATCCCATCACACCTTTACCGAAGGTGACATTTTACGAGAACACAGATGTTAAAAAATAATAATTTTTTTTATGTATTTGATTTGGATTTTTAACCAGCCTGGTTGTCTAATAAAAATAAATAAAGGAAACACTGAAACTGGCGTGAGCTTTGTCATCCAATAATAGCGTTCCACGTGGAGCATTCAGGCCTTGGTCGGGACCTTAACAGGATATCTGTGAACCGAGTCCTCCCAGGGATTCCCCCGCCAGTCACCGACCGGAATCCTCCTCATCGCCTTCCACACAGCACTGTTACACTTAAAACCCGACCCGAATGCTATCTGCCATACCCGATCCCCCTTCCCGTTCCCACCCTGCCTTTGGCCTCCGTATACGCCAGCTCGTACCACAGCGAACTGCTAGATGTGTTACCGAACCTGTGAAGCGTCATCCTCGACGGCTCAAGTGCCACTCACTGAGTTCCAAGTTCTTCTGCAGCTCGTCCAGCACCGCCCTCCCTCCTGCGTGAATACAAAAATGCTCGAAAGCCTTCTTGAAATCTGGAATGTAAGGTTTCACCTTGGAATTCTTCAACACCTTCTTCCTAACCAACGACAAGAAGAACATGAGTTGCTCCGAAAACGGAAGAACCATCGGCCCCAACGTTGTTATGGTTCGTCTTCAAAGCGTCTCCGCGACTGCCATCAGCTCTCTGGCCATGAAACGCCC